ACAGTTGATCCTATTTTAAACAAGTATATTTACTTAACTTTTTTGTTTTTCAAGCACATTTATTTTTACACTTTCACTACATTTATTATCTTTTTGTGTGTGATTCCTGTACCCGTATAGGTATTCAATAAAGTTTGTGTTCTTAATAAAGGCACCTAGCCTAATAGCTGTTTAGTTAATTTAAACAAGGGTAAAATGATTAGTATTGGTCTTGTTTTTTGCAAGCCTAGTCTAATCTTTCTCATTTCCTAATTAGTTCAAACAGTATCCTCTTTTCTTTTGGTATCTTGGGAATATCGATTTCTTTGTGTCCTGTTCAGTTTGCTACTATTTTATACAAATTTTTTACACATTTGCTCTCTTAATCAGCATGTCTCTGAAAATGTGGTAGTTTGTTTTTAAATGTTAAATGTTGTATTTCATTGTGCATTATATATACTGTTTTCTGTATGTACTTATGGGTGAATACCGTCAGGCCCCGGAGCTTTATTTACATTAATTTTCTTTTACAGCTGTAGCACCTTGTCTCAAGTTATCCAATCACAAGTTATCTGCAAGTTTTTTGCAGCAATCATTTGCATATCTCTTGACATAGGATCCTCATTAATATAAAGTAATTAACCTCGAGTGCTTTCCCTGGGTGGTTGACATTTGTTTAACCAAACACACGTGCTCCAGTGAATGGCCATTTTTCTCTCGAACATAGGCAGTGGTACATGGTCATCGAGGCCTGGAAGCACTTTTGCCACACGATCCCACGAACCTGTGCAAAGATCGTACCTCTGCCCATCGGACGTCCCGACCAGCTAGATGAATGACGTTCGGGGGATAGAAACTACCGGCCGGGGGGAGCATTTGCTCCCTAAAAGCCAAGGGGAGCATTTGTTGGTGTTAGAACAGGAACCCTCGAAAATGTACCGGCCATTGCCCCTTATTTTTCTGGAACTGTTTTTGGCCATCACCTCGCGGCCGGCTGGTCAGAACTTTACCCGAATGGCGATTCTGTTCTACCGAACTAATCTGAGCCCTATTTGGACAACTTGGGTGCTAAGATCCAGGCTATTCAAGAATCTAAGACTTGTGGGGTTCCTGTGAAATATGACTGTGCATAATATGACTGTGGGGTCTGTGCATAAAAGGCTGAGTTTGTGCTGAATAAATCAGTTGTATTTCCAGAATTGTGTCGTCCAGTTACTGGGGAAGGATAGTGCTATTCACTTCACAGCGCCTTGAGAAATAGTCCTGGTCAGGACTAGCGCTCCACTGCGCTCCTGGTTAGAGTACCTAAACAAGATTTAACAAACTTTTAGAATATGATCAATGATTTTATATGAGCATGTAAATGACATAAGTTATCCAGACAGTTACTATATTGCTTGAAGTTTAAAGGTGTCCTTTGCTTCCCCAACCTTTACCTCTATTCGTTAACTGTGCAGTGGACACAGATAATCATTTGGCACTCTCCCCCTGAAGCACATAGAATCTTTGTTAAGGAATTCTGATTTGTCCCAATTTTGGTAGACAATGTAATGTTGATGAATATAAAAGGTAAAGATGACTGTCATAAATATGAAAAATAATGTTTATGTTCATAAACAGGCCTATACATAGGACACAAGGTCACACATTTAGGCTGGAAGAAAGGAGATTTCATCTAAGGCAAAGAAAAGGTTTTTTTACAGTAAGAGCATTGAGGATATAGAATTTTCTGCCTGAGGAGGTGGTTTTATCAGAGTCCATACATATGTTTAAATTACAATTGGATAAATACTTGCAAAAACATAACATACAGGGATATAATTTCTAATGAGTGGGGTAATAGCTGCTTGATCCAAGGAGACATCTGACTGCTATTTTAGGGTCAAGAAGGAATTTTTTCCTAGTTTGTTGCCAAATCGGAAGCGCTTCAGACTATATTTTCTTGCCTTCTTTTGGATCAACAGCAAAAACATATGTGAGGAAGGCTGAACTTGAAGACGCAAGTCTCTTTTCAGCTTTGAAACTATGTAACTATGTAACTATGTAACTTAATTGCAGTTAACAGCCAGGGGTGGTTGTGTTCGGGGAGGTATAAAAGGGGGACAACACACCATCCATTCAGGAAACGAACAAGGGGAGTATGGACAACCGAACAGAAAGAGAATTAGTCTGCTACAGGAGCATCTGGAAAAGAAACAAAAATCTTGGCAATGACTTCAGGTTCCACCGCCAATTTAGCTACTACGTTTTATTTCATCTACTCTCTAGATTAAATCATTATCTCCATCATCCATCTACAAGCTGCAGGGAGTTGCTCAAAGCACAGAGTTAGCCTCCCTGCATTTTAACTGACCAACTGAACTTCTTCTGGGGACCTGATTGGAGCTCTCTCCACCCCTTTCACATATTGAGGGAGTAGGCCGGAAGTCAAGACTTTTGAATTAGACTGTAAGTGCCGGATCACAACTGCTGGGCACTGATGGAGGTATCACTGGTTCTATGCACTCTTGGGAGTCTCTACCACCAGCTGATATCTGCTGCTCATGGTGGATACCGCATCAGGTACTGTACCTCGCATCAGGGAGAGAATCATATCCCTTTAGTGCACCCTGCCTTTTCATCTCCCTTGGCCCATATTTTCAGCCAAAGGCCCTCCATGTAGACCAGACCACTCTAAGGTTTAGCATGCCACACAGCCTGGTGGTGGTTGATGGTGTGCTTACCTTCTCTCAACTCACCCTAAAGTCTTGAACAGATTGACAACTCTCACACCTCCTTGCTCTCAACTCTTCAGGCTGTCGTTCTGCTGCTCCTTTTGTAAATACATTTGCTGTTTGTTTTTTTCCTTTTTGTACACATTGTTACTACAGGCTTTCAATTACAGACATATCCACTGTAAGGAAACCAAGTATATTTAAACCGCATTCGGCCTTAGTGATTATAGCCCTCCATTTGGTAGATAGGGTAGACGAATCCTATAGCAATCCCAATAGCTTCACAAGATAATTCCCTTAGTGAAACACACGAATCCCCAAACATCAGCCGAAGTCAAGAAGAAGGGTACAAAATGAACTAGCCTTTAATGGGTGCACACAGCTTTTATGCAAGTCCCCATGCAAGGGGACAGCCCTCAGGGAGGGACAAACATTAACCAATCACATACAGTAAAACTTTAACACACACCTACAATTGCCTCCCCTAGCCCAGGAGATAATTCAGTCTGATAAAATAGTAACTTAATTATCTCCGGGCTGAAAATCACCTTTTTCCCCCAATATCTAGAACACCCCTTTATACTGGGGGTATCCCCATAAATTATATGTCCCCTGACAGCCCTGATCTGGGTGACCAACATATCCAAATTTCACCCAGATCGGTTCAGGGGTTCGCAAAATTTATGGAAGTCTCTTGTGACCAGCTCACCCTGGGCTGTATGCCCAAAACAGTTCCATGAATTTGTTGGGTTTTGCCGGACACTTTCGAAAAAGTATAAAAATGAATAAAATACCGAATGGATCCCTCTGGCCCTCAGGCAGCGTTCGTGCCTCTCTGTCGAATACACCAAAGTACCGAATAGCGATCTTCTAGCTATTCGGTAAATGGAGTTCCAGCATTCGTCTGTTTGGGACCGGTGTTCGGGAAGTCGAGTGTCCGTTTTTAGTTCCATGCACTCAACGACCAGGTCCCGCTGCCTTTGTTCGCATGAACAAAGATGGCCGCGGTTTTCTCTGCCACGTGGCGTTCGACTGACGAATGCTGGCCGCACATACAGAGGTAGCAATTTCACCCAAACTTTGATGTTTAATGAGCCAGAGGGGTGGTCTTTGTTCGGTAGTTCCATATCCCAAATGCAATAGACAGAAATGGAGATAAAAAGGGAATGCAATGGGTAAATAACATAGGAAACAGGGGGTTTCTTCACATCCACTAATTCTTCCTGAAGTCTAAGCCCACTCTAAGAAACAGTGACATGTGGTCATTTCTTTTCTGAATATACAGTGGGACCTCGCTTTACAAACGCCTCGGTTAACATAATTTTCGGTTTACAAATGAAAATCCATTGAAAACAATGCCTCGGTTTACAATATTTTTTCGCAATACAAAGTAAGTTTCCCCAGGATGCATTGCACCTGAGAGGTTTATAGCACCACCCCCTGGATGCTGGAGCCTGTGGGTAGCACGTGGTGTTGAGTGAGGAGGTGTTAGAGCGGCTTTTGCATCGAGTTTTGGAGCCATTCTGGAAATTGTTTGCAGTTGTTTTGGGACTTTTTAGTGCATTTCTCAAGCTGTGGAAAGGTAGGGAGCTGAGTTTCGTCATTTGCATGCCTTTTTATTGCGTGTTCTGCATTGTGGGTTGGTTTCCATGCCAGCTCATTTTGACTTTTTTTCTGACCTCCAGAACGGATTAATTGGTTTTTAATGCATTCCTATGGGAAACCGTGTTTCAGTTTACAAATGTTTCGCAATAAGAAAAGTCCCGGAGAACGCATTAAATTCGCAAACCGAGGTCCCACTGTACATTAAACAGCTTGGGGGGAATTCCTGATCACCTCTCCTATTCCATTGCTATCTCTCACTATTAATTACAGGCATATCCACAAATATATCCTAAAGTCTGAGCCATTCTAAGGTATTGTGGCATGCTGTTCTCTCTTTCATTCTGAGTGTATATTGAATTTAACAGTTTGGAGACATCAATATTGGGGAATATCTGATCACTTCTCCTATGCCATTGCCATCTCTTATTTTGCTACAAGATGACCACACTGATGTAGACCTGATCCTGGACAGCCATTATCTTTGTATATAGTATTGAATGTGTATGCCATAATTTTCCCAGGGACTGCATAAGCCTACTCTCCATTGCCATAATAACACTACTACTATTTAACCCCTTAAGGACGGAGCCAAATGTACACGTTGTGAACAAAACAAAATGTAAACAAAACCTGGCATTTCCGCTACATGTCTGTCCAACCGTAATACACCTCTTTCATAGTAAATGCACCCACCCTTATTATATATCATTTTATTCAGGGGAAACAGGGCTTTCATTTAATATCAAATATTTAGCTATGAAACATAATTTAATATGAAAAAAATGGGAGAAAATACGATTTTTTTGGATTTTTTTTAGTTCTACATGACATTTTAACGGTCAGTGTCATAATACTGTTTGCTTTTACTGCAATAAAATACACATATTTGTATTCAGCAAAGTCTCACGTGTAAAACAGTACCCCCTATGTACAGGTTTTATGGCGTTTTGGGAAGTTACAGGGTCAAATATAGCACGTTACATTTGAAATTGAAATTCGCCAGATTGGTTACGTTGCCTTTGAGACTGTATAGTAGCCGGGAATGAAATTTACACCCATAATGGCATACCATTTGCAATAGTAGACAACCCAAGGTATTGCAAATGGGGTATGTCCAGTCTTTTTTAGTAGCCATTTGGTCACAAACACTGGCCAAAGTTAGCGTTAGTATTTGTTTGTGTGTGAAAAATGCAAAAAACGCCAATTTTGGCCAGTGTTTGTGACTAAGTAGCTACTAAAAAAGACTGGACATACCCCGTTTGCAATACCTTGGGTTGTCTACTATTGCAAATGGTATGCCATCATAGAGGTAATTTTCATTCTTGGGCTACCATAGGGTCTCAAAGGCAACGTAACCAATCTGGCAAATTTTCATGTGAAAAAAATGAAACAAAAGCCTTATATTTGACGCTGTAACTTTTGAAAACACCATAAAACCTGTACATGAGGGGTACTGTTGTACTCGGGAGACTTCGCTGAACACAAATATTTGTGTTTCAAAACAGTAAAAAGTATCATAGCAATAATATTGTCCGTTTAATGCTGTTTGTGCGTGAAAAATGCAAAAAACGTCACTTTTACTGGCGATATCATCGTTGTAATACATTTTACTGTTTTGAAACACTAATATTTGTGTTCAGCGAAGTCTCCTGAGTAGAACAGTACCCCCCATGTACAGGTTTTATGGTGTCTCGGAAAGTTATAGGGTTAAATATAGTGCTAGCAAATTAAATTCCCTTTACTTTCGGCATGGGTTGTCATGCAGGTCCTGCTAATTGTAATTAATTAAGATACCTAATTATGTAAAAATATTACATAAATATATATGTAGAATCAATATATGTATATATATACGTATGTGTATATATATGTATATATCTATATAATTTTTTTAAAATATTTTTATTTATATATAGGTATATATATAGTGATATATACGTATATATTTATGTGTATAAATATATATATTATTTCGTTCTATGTGTATTTTGATATATATATATATATATTAATTTCACAATACAGTTAGAACGAAATAACACACATCTATATATTTTTTAATTATTTATTTTTAATTATTTTTGTAATTTTATTTTTAACGTATTTACATTTTAATTTTTTTTATAATATATATAAATATATATATAACAATAATTATATATATATTTAATCAGTATCAGTCTACGTGTAATTTGATATTAATATATATATATAATTATATATATATTAATAGTAAAATACACCTAGACGCTGTACATGTGTATATATATACTTTGATCATATATATATAATATATATATATGATCTAAGTATATATAATTTTATTTTTTTACACTTTTAACTTATTTTACTTTTATTTTCAGCCAGCAGGGGGACCCCCTGTAATTACAGGCAGCCCCCCTGCTGGCAATACAGAAGCCAGCTATACCCGGCCATGTGATTGTGGGGTCCTCGCTAGGACCCCACTCTCACACGGCCGGGGGGCTTCCTGGAGGACGGTCGTGCCGCGGGGGGCTCCCTGGGAGTCCCCCCCACCGCGATCGCCGGCGTGGGACCGCCGGCGACCGGGTAAGTACAGAAAGACCGGAGGGCGTACTATTACGCCCGGCGGCGTTTAGAGCCGCCTATTAGAGGACGTAATAGTACGCCCTCCGGTCTTAAGGGGTTAACTACTCCCTGCACCTGCAGCTAATCAAATGTTTGCTCATCTCACAAACAACTCCTTGTTTCAGAAAAGTCATAAATATTTTTTCACATATACCTTTGTTGACTCTTTTTTCGTTTTTCCTTTTTACTACTCACTATAAAAAATAATTATTCAGCCTGCCTCTGAAAGAGGGAGCTACTTTTCCACCTACTCATCTGTGACTTAAAGGGACACTATAGTCACCTGAACAACTTCAGCTTAATGAGGTTGTTCAGGTGAGAACTATTTCTCCCTGCAGCCTTTCTCATGTAAACACTGCATTTTCTTAGAAAATACAGTGTTTACATTGAAAGCTAGGAACACCTCCAGTTGCAGTCACTCAGAGTGAACCAGAGGCACTTCAGAGTTCCATTAAGATCTGCTGTCGGCAGAGCACAGGGCAGCACTGTGCACAGCATTCTGTGATTCAGTATCTCCTCCCTCTGCATGCAGACACTGAACTTTACTCTTAGAGATTCATTGATTCAATTCATCTCTATGAGGAGATGCTGATTGGCCAGGGCTGTGTTTGAATTATGCTGGCTCTGCCCCTGATCTGCCTCTTTGTCAGTCTCAGCCAGTCCTATGGGGAAGCACTGTGATTGGATCAGGCCACCACATGTCTGCAGACGGATTGTTTTTCTGAATCTAACAGCATATAGAGATTTACAGCTTCAGGCTTGAATACAGTAAGATTTGTACTATATTTATGGAGACATAAGGGGCACATGGGGGCTAGATGGTGGTGTTAATACTATAGGGTCAGGAATATATGTTTGTGTTCCTGACCCTATAGTGATCCTTTAAATATGAATATTAATCTTTTAATTAATATATAATAATTAAGCAATAAGTAACAACATTAATATTTTTTATAGTTCGTGGTATTATGGTCGAATAATAGAAAATACACAAAACATTGTAATATAAAATGTATATTTAATATAACTATAATAAGTAAACAGATGCCAGCAGAATGTCAGTTTTACCACATGACAGGAGGCTTCCTATTTTGCATAACTTTCTTTACTTATGCCTCCAGCAGCACAAGACAATCAATCAAAACTTTGAACCAATCATAGGTCAGCATAGCCTGTATATAAGTCCTTGATGGGCGTGTCTATTCCTCTTTCTTTGCTGCTTCCAGACAGACACAGGTCAGAGTGATTCATTCAGAGTTTACTACCTATTACTGTTCATAATATTGCACTGATTTCCATATTTTTAATTATTGTTTCACCCTCTACCCTCCCTATCCTCTCAACCCTATACTGCATCCTCCTTACTATCTATCTGCCTTATCCGCAATCGCGGCACTTAACTGCGACCGCTCACTTTTCTTCGGGGCACTGAGTTTGTATAGGGGTTCCCTGAGAGGTGGGAATGTGGGATTGAGGGTTTTTATCGCTCAAATACCTTATCATATATATATATATGACTCTATGCATGGTACCCACAATACGGCTAGGGTGATCCACACACCTCCTTACAGAGGAGGGAGAAAAAATTGGCAGTAAACAGGCTCAACAATTCAAACGCACAAATCACACAGGCCCTCCACCCCCGATAGGTGCGGCCCATTTATACGACCGCTCATCCCGGTTGCACAGAGGGTGGCCCCCTCCTCAAACCACTTGACCCCTAATCAAACAGGCCCTCCACCCCTGACGGGTGCGGCCAATTATACAACCGCTCATCCCGGTCGCACAGAGGGTGACCCCCTCGGGGCAAGTAACACCGGGTGACCCCCAGTCGTAAGTGGAAGCCTACTGTATTAATTGTATTAATTGCCAAACTACTGGTGCAGATCCCAAAAATGGACACTGTCACCGAAACAGCCACGGAAATGAAAGAGTCTGCCTTCCCCAGAGAAGTCCCCGCAGTAAAGCGGCAATGGAAGGCTCAGGCACTGAAAAACCAAAAGGTAAAGCTCCGTTGAAAAGGAGCCATCAGGTAGAAAGAAGGGAACCATCCCCTTCACACACCCCGTCCTCGGAGGACGATGACCACAACCCTCCGCCATCACTCGAAATTATGGAGTGGAAAGCGGAGGCTTCGCTAACGGAAGACGATGAGTGGCACGACATCCCAAGGGATGATACAGAGTATGACAAAGACACGTACTTCGGACAGGAAAGTTCTCATCATGCACGGGACAAACTAGAAGAGGGCACCTTTATAGACCCCCAAGAGGCAACCGTGTTCGATCCCCGCACAATCCGGCATCCAAGATCATCAGAATGGGGCTTGCCAGAACATCTGGCCCAGTTCATCCATTTCTGGCTAAGAAAACCGATAGAAAAAGACCCCAGAATTCGACACTACTGTGCTACTGTTCATGTCCCGCGCGGGCCGAGATCTGCGGAAAGGTATAGAGAAGGGCCTGAAGGAATCTCAGGACAAGCTCCTGGACATACTAGGCCCTCCGGCCAAGATATTATACCTGGCTGACCTAGCCCTCTCCCAGGGCGCCGCATTGGACGCCCATGTTATACAAGAATGGGTGCAACGGGCTATCTGTATACAGGGCAACACTAACGTGGCAATGTGCGCAGAACGTCGCAGGGCAGCGTTGCTGAAAATGGACTCCAAACTAAAGGAGCTGGGAAAGAAAGAGATGGGACCACTGGCGAACGGCCAGCTCTTCGGGGACTCATTTATAACAGAGCTAAAAAAAGCACGTGAACCTATTCACTACACTGAATAAGGCACAGACGTCCATCAAACAAGTATTTTGCAACACCCCACCACACCGTGGGGTTTTTGGCAGAGCTGGTCGCCAAAGGGGTCGAGCCACCAGCCGATTCTGGCCCACAGGCCCCAGAAACCAGACGTCTCAAGTGTTCTTCCCATCTTCAAGAACCAACTTCACACGAGGTACCCGTACCCGCGGACGCGGACGCTTCAATGCAGGTGAGCACTCCAAACACGATGTTTTTATACCCTCATATGACTGCAGGCAGACTGTCTCTCTTTTCACAGGAATAGGGAAAGATATGCTCGGACAACTGGATCCTACAAACAGTAGCGGGCTACAAGATCGAGTTTTCAGACACCCCGGTGCAGAACCGTCGCCCACCACCACTGCACACCGAACTCATAGACAACGAGATCCAGGCTCTGTTCGACAAAGGGGCAGTGGAGATATCCCCGGACGATACGGGCTTCTTCAGCAACATCTTCGTGGTCCAAAAGAAAACGGGAGACTACAGACCACTCACCAACCTACGACAACTGAACGGATTCGTTACCTAC